TTAATAGAAATATGTCAAGACTGAGAGAACACATTATTTGTAACATCGTTAAATTGAAATTATAAAATAAATGTTGTTACAGTCTTATATAGTTTTACAATTATTCTTATTAATAATTGTAATAATAATAAAATTTGAAATAAAAAAAAATTTCGACACATTTTATATATATATATATATATATATATATATGCCTCTAATTTACATTTCAAACTTTTCTTTACATCTTGTGAAAATAAAACATATATGTACATATATAGGTATTTATGTGCAATTTACATTTCAAGCTTTTCTTTACATCTTGATATTTTAAGAAAATTTGTTTTCTATAAAGATAAATAATTTTTTTCTTTCTCTTATTGTTATGTGTTATATATATATATATATATATATATATATATATATAACACTTATGAATTTACAAGATACTTGCTATTATAAAGCGCGGATAGCATAATTAGCCCAAAAAATATTCTTTAAATCATAATAAAATATACATATGTCGTTTGCCTAAAGAATAATAATGTACAAAAATAACTTTTTCATCAATTGATTTCTCTTCATATAAAATGTTGAAATTTGTTTATGATAGTCAAAAAATAAAATATGTTTTGAATTTATTGAGGTACTGCTGATGGACGTCTCAAACCGTTCGTCATAACATGATCCTCTCACTTACCACAGAATTTATTCCATCTTGTAGGTAGAACTACAGTTGAAACCACTCGTGAAAAAATTATAGACACAATCATAAATTAATTAGGCGGAAGCAAAACAAGTTATTTTTTATAATTTAAATATAAATCCGTAATAGGATGATGGATTTCGAGACTTTGTGACGACGAACAGTTACAAAATAAAGCAATGGTAGTAGAGATGTCCACCTGCGCGAATAGAATCAATTGAGAATTAAATTAGTTTTTTAACATTATTTTTTAGATACGTGATATGTACATTCTTATTGCGACAATTTACAAAATTTTTTACAAAGTTACAAAATATTATATTAATATATGCACATGTCCACAAAGATTTGCATTTGTAGCGTTTTCTTTATGTTTTATTTTCACAACTTTATTTATATTATTAAAATACAAGATAATTCTTGAAATTAACTTCGAAATAAACAAACCATGAAAATCGACGCTGATGTTAACAAATCAATATAATTTTAATATTATTAGCAATATTAATATTAAAATTATATTGATTTGTTATATTTTATTATAAAAATTTACTTAAAAATGTAAATTTCGTGTTTTTTATATCACTTAACTTCAAAATAGTGTTTAAAAAACTATAAATTGTAACTGTTCTTATTTTGAGTTACAGTAGCATAATAGTAAAAAGTTCTGTTTTAGAATGGATAATAAATAACATAAATGAAATTATATGTTTATAATTGTTAATAAATAATGATAATGAATTACATTTAAATATCGACAATAAAATAAAGATGAATAACTTATTTTTGAAAATACTTTTCAAGCTTGAAATATGTATATTTGTTAGTTCTTTTTTATAATTATAATCACTTGTATGAATAATTCGCATAATTATCATATAAATATTATAAATTTATGAATATATTAATGAAAGTTAAATATAATATTTTGTTTTAAATTAAATTAAATAAATTATTCTATTCAAAAATTTAATAATAATAAGTAATCTAACCGAAACTTTCGTCTACTACATAAAGGAAGCAAATTTAATTAGTTTGAATTCTATTATTTTCAGGAGGAAGAGATATTCCCATTGTATGAATCAATTGATCCGAACATGTTATCAACGCTTATTCAAAGAGTCGAAAATTTGAAGAAAGATTTATCATACATAAAAGGTGAATTTGATAAAGTATCAAAACAAAATCACAAAAGTTCCAAGGAACATGCCAGGGAACATAAAATAGTTCTAGATAAGATGACACGCACAATTTCTGACAAGCAACAAAACACTGTTATATCTGAGAAAACCGGTTATACTAAAGCTTTTGACATATTTTATGACAAATTGAAGGAAGAAATTTCGGAGAAACATAAAAAAATAGATTTGACAAAGCAAGAAATGACGGATACGCCAAGAAAGATCGAAGTTAAAACTCAGTATGATATCAAGTTACAGCAATTTTACGAGATAATGTATCAGAATGAGATTAGAAGAATTATTGGACAACTTGATGATCATGGCAAGAGATACTTTCCCACAGGAATTATAAAGGAAAAAAAATTAAGAGCAAATTACAAAGTGCAGCTCGCTACAAAAGAAGAATACTTAATCTATCGATTACACCTAATAAATTTATTTTTAACCTTAGAAGAACGCGTGCTGTCATTGAAACTCAAAAGTGAGCATTTTACAACAAATATGAAAGCAGGCGTCGAGATGCCTAATTTGATTAAAACTGATAATGAACTAAGCAGGCTAAGAAGGGATTATGTGTATCTCAAGTTTAATCACAAAATGCGTCATAATGATATTTCTTATAGTTTTATGTACCTTATAAACTATTGCTTGCTCCACGAAAAGGCATATAAAGAAGAAGAGATTATTAATTTTAGAAATTTCTACATGCAGCAAATTGAAAAAATAAAAAAGAGTTTAGGTCTGAAAAAAGAAGAAATGGCCTTTAATCTCCAGATAAAGCAAGAGGCAACGAATGTGGAAACGAATGACACCGAGACAACTAATATGTCGGACAAGAGCGAGAATGTAAAGAGTATGTTAATGAAGAGAAACGAATATCTTCAGAATTTTGTGATGGAGAACTTCAATAAAATTAAAAGAATTCGTGATGAACTTAACTTGTATAACAACTTGTATAACTCATACAAATTACCAAATATTGGTACAGACACGAATATAAAAACGGATTGCGTTGAAAAATCTAGCGAACTGCCAAAAAACATTCTAGTTTGTCAAGTTTATAAAGCAAAGTTTCAAAGAAAGTTTATTGATATGTATAATAAACTCAAAATGGATCTCAGCAGTTATGATATCTTAAATTATAACGTAAAGATAGATATGAAACCGGAATCCTACGATAAATCTACGAAAATACATGACGAGCCAATAAAAGAACGTGAATATCTTGGATTCATTGCTACGAAACATTTAAAAACGATTAGGGAAGTATGCGCTTTGTTTGAAATTCATTTAAATAGATTCAATGATAATATTGAAAATATTACTGGGTGCAATAAATTCATGAACCAAGAAATTTACGTGGCTCATCAAATATTTGTACTAGAAGGTGAGATTTCTCAGCTAAAACATGAAGTGTTAGATTATAAATGTTGGTACAATAGTAATTAATAAGGACATATGACGTGTATAACGTTTAGTTTACAAATAACTTGAGACAACGGCAAAATATAAAATCTGAAAACAATGTGATTTCTTCATGCTCACTAATTTAACAAATCCAACGCTATCATATGGCTTCGATAATTATAAAATTAAATAGATAGAACGAAGTTAATATTTTTGCGTGTAATTATTGTATCAATTCTATAATTTGTTATGTATCATAAAGGCTATTTTAATAATTTTTATATAACTAATTTAGATGTCATTAAATCTACTAAATTAAAATAACTAATCATAAAGCGTATGTATGTATTCACTTTAACGTCGCTCAATGTGATCTAGTTGATGCATATGATAAGATGATGTTTCTTGCATTTTTGGCATATTTAATCAACACAAATATTCTGAAGTTACTATGGATGTATTCGATAGATTTTAATTGTGATCATGTAAATTTCGATAGACATTTTTTTCTGATAAGTGTTAAAAGTATATTGATGCAAAATAATTTAACAATTATATCTTAAATAAAAATTGATATAGTATTGTCTATTCATATTATAAAATCTATTGTACCAAAACTTATAATGTTCAATTTGTGATATTTTTATAATAAAATTTGCCACTTTAATTATCTTAAAAGATGTCTATTCTCTTTACTAATTTAGAATTTTGTATACACATAAATATATATAGACACGCGCACATACAATATAATAACAGCGTATACAATAAAATTATACCATGCATATATTCTATATATTTTTAAATCAATTTTTGGATAAATGCAAAATTACGACACTTCGAAAACCGTAAAAGAAGCTTGATACTTACAATTAGTTATTCAGCTAGGGCGAAACTCGAGCGATCAGAACTACATTGCAACAAATTTTATTTGACATTTAGGAAAGATTTTTATTAATTATTACTGACGAATTTTAAGGATTATTATCTGACATATAGAGAATACCATAAATTTAATTACATCTTATTCAATGAAAGTTTTAAAAAATTACTATGTCTGGTGAAAAAAATATATGTTCTTATAATATTTATATATTAATATCTACACATTATATAAATAATTAAAATTATTGTAATAAATATTTGAAAATCTTTTATCCCTTTTTAAATATTCAATCCAAACTTACTAATTACGAAATTACTTATTATTTAAAAAATAAATGTTAAAGAATATTGCTAAAATTTCTTTCAAAATGTGATAACTTTATTTTTATGATAAACAAAATTTAAAGTTCAAAAAAATAGTTGTATGTTATTACAAAAATATTATAATAATTGTTAACATAATAAATTGAATTAATTTATTCTCTGATATACACACACAATGTCATTATATAATTAAATATTTATACAATTACTAAATACATATATTACACATGCATTGCATATATTTACAATCGCATTGAACATGCACATTTACAAATAACGTACGCGCGCAAATTTATTTTTAATTTAAATAAACATTTTTAATTCATTGTAATTAAAACGAATATATGTTTTATTCTAATCGTCATTATCTGCGAGAAACAAATACTCTCATCTCATGAATATATTTAAATTAATTTAAGAATTATCGCAAGTTTTGTGAAATTTAATATATTATACAATATTTTAAATTTAACACAAGCCGTTATTTTTAATAATGATCTCGATTGTTGAGTCTCTATATAGTGTTGTTATTGTCATATGTTTATTTTTACTGCTGTACTGAACATTTATGTGTCGAAACGTAAAAAACATAAGTTGCTAAGAATCTGTTGGTTAAGTGTGCTTTAAAAATTTTTCACTGCCACGATGAGCGAGATTCGACATGACTTTTGGGTAAGATTTAATTTCTTTTATTATTTCAATTCTTTGCTTTCTTCTTACACGCAAATGTATATACTCTTTATATTATTGAACTAAAAAGGATTTTAGAAAATAAGTAATAGAAATATGTCAAGACTGATAGAACACATTATTTGTAACATCGTTAAGTTGCAATTATTAAATAAATGTGGTTACAGTAGTGTTTTACAGTTATTCTTTTCAATAATTGTAATAATAAAAGTTGAAATTAAAAAAGAAATTTCGACACATTTTCTGAATAATAAATAACAAATACAAAAGTTATTTTTATTATAATTTTTTAAAACAACGCGGTATACGATTTTTATGTAGAGACACATAAAAAGAGATTACATTATATTAAAAATTAATGAACAATATCAATTTAACATATAGTGATTATAAATTAAACAATAACAGTTTGATAAATTATCATTATCAGATGGTGAAAACGAATTTAATAACCCATACGTATATTATGGCAAAATTTATAAATTTCATAAATTTAAAGGTTTGCAAAGAAGAAATAATTTTAATAATTATTAATAAAAAAAAAGAAAAAATTATTTATCTTTATAGAATTTTGAAATCTTAAGAAAACTTATTATTATATAAAATTTTTTATAAAAACAAATTTTCTTAAAATATCAAAATGCAAAGAAAAGTTTGAAATGTAAATTGGACACACACACACACACATATATATATATATATATATATAATAACACTTATGAATTTACAAAATACTTGCTATTATAAAGCGCTGATAGCATAATTAGCGCAAAAACTATTCTTTAAATCATGAATAATGAAATATATATATATGTCGTGTGCCTAAGGAATAATAATATAAAAAAATAACCTTTCCGCCGATTGATTCCTGTTCATATAAAATGTAGAAATTTGTCTGTGATAGTCAAAAAATAAAATGTTTCGAATTTATTAAGGTACTGCTGGAGGACATCTCAAACCGTTCGTCATAACATGATCCTCTCGCTTATCACAGAATTTATTCGAGGTCTTGTAGGTGGAATTAAAGTTGAAAACACTTGTGTGAAAAAATGTTAAACACAATCAAAAATTAATTATGCGGAATGCAAAACAAGTAACTTTCTGCAATTCATCCCATTACGGATTTAAATGTAAATCCGTAATGAGATGATGGATTTCGACACTTTGTCATGACAAACAGTTACAAAATAAAGTAATGGTAGTATAGAGATGTCCACTTGCGCGAATAGAGTCAATTGAGAATTAAATTAGTTTTTGAACATTATTTTTTAGACACATAACATGTACATTTTTATGGCGACAATTTACAGAATTTTTTGCGCAAATTATTATAATATCCGCCGTTTAATATAACATTAAATGACTTGCAATTTTTTACAAAATTACAAAGTATTAATATATGCACATGTCCACAAAAAATTGCATTTGTAGCTTTTTCTTTATGTTTTATTTTTACAACTTTATTTCTATTATTAAGATCGATACAAGATAATTATTAAAATTGACTTCGAAATAGACAAACTATGAAAGTCGACGCGGATGTTAACAAATCAATATAATTTTAATATTCCGAGCAATATTAATATTAAAATTATATTAATTTGTTATATTTCATCACATAAAAATTTACTTCAAATGTAAATTTCGTGTTTTATATAACACTTGACTTCAAAATAGTGTTTAAAAAACTATAAATTGTAACTGTTCTTCTCCTTTTGAGTTACAATAGTATAAGAGTAAAAAGTTCTGTTTTAGAATCGATAATAAATAACATAGTTGAAATTATATTTTTATAATTGTTGATAAATAATGATAATAAATTACATTTAAACATTGATAATATTAATAACTCATTTTTAAAAATACTTTTCAAGCTTGAAATATGTATATTTATTAGTTCGTTTTATGATTATTATTACTTGTATGAATAATTCACATAATTATCATATAAATATTATAGATTTATGAATATATTAATAAAAGTTAAAGATATTATTTCGTTAAATTAAATTAAATAATAATAACAAGTAATCTAACTGCAACTTTTGTCTACTACATAAAAAAAGCAATTTTATTTAATTTGAATTTTATTATTTTCAGGACGACATATTCGAACGTCAATTGTATGAATCAATTAACACGCACATATTATCAACGTTTATTCAAACAGTAGAAAATTTGAGAAAAGATTTCTCAAACATAATGTGTGAATTTAATAAAATAAAAGAACAAAATGACAATAATTCCAAGACCGCCATAGAACAAATAAAGAAGGAAGATATGTTAGAAGAAGTTCTAGATATTACGACATCTACAACTTCTGGCATTCAACAAAACACTGGAGACGATGTTAAGTCTGAGGAAAGCGGTTTTCCTAAGTTTCTTGACGAATTGATAAAAGAAGTTCTGGAAAACATTAAAAAGATGGATTTGACGAATCGAGAAATGACGGATATGCCAAGAAAGATCGAAGTTAAAACGCAGATTGATATCAAGTATGATCAGTTTCTCGAGATAATGTATCAGAATGAGATTAGAAGAATTATTATCCAACTTCATGATCATGGCAAGAGACACTTTCCCACAGGAGTTATAGACGAGAAAAAAAATTAAGAGATTACATTGTGCGGCTCGCTATAAAAGAAGAATACTTCATCCATCGATTAAAACTAATAGACATATTTTTAACCTTAGAAGAAGTAGTGCTGCGTTTGAAGCTCAAAAGAGAGCATTTTACAACAAATATGAAAGCAAGAGTCGAGATGCCTAATATTTCGAGTAAAATTGATGATGAACTGAGCAGGCTAACAAGGGATAATATATATCTTTTTTTTATGCAAAAAACACGTCGAGAAGAGATTAATAGAATTTTGAATCATCTTCGATCGTATTCCATAAAATACAATATGCCAAATGAAAAAGCAAAGATTATTACGCATAGAAATTTCATCATGCAGAAAATTGAAAAAATAAAAGAAACTTTAGATCTGAAAAAAAAGTAATGGCATTTAATCTCCAGATAGAACAAGAGGCAACTAATATGTCAAACAAGAGCGAGAATGTAAAGAGCATGTTAATGAAGAGAAACGAATATCTTGAGAATTTCGTGATAATGCATCAAAATATAATTACTAAAATTTATACTAAACTTATATTGTATTACCGCTCATACAATAAGGAAACAATATCAAGTAAAGTCGCTAGATTCTCGAATGTAAAAACGGATTGTGCTGAGGGAACCAACATGCCGAGGGAAACTGATGGAAAAAGCGCACTGCGGGGAAACATTGAAGCCCTTCAAGTTGTTGGAACAAAGTATCAAAAAATGTTTATTGATATATATAATAAACTCCAAATGGATCGCAGCAGCTATGACATGCCAAATTATAACGTAAAGATTGATATGAAACCGGAATCGTACGATAGACCTACGAAAATACATGACGATGAAAATGAGCTGATAAAAGAACATGAATATCTTGCATTCATTACTATGATGCATTTGGAACAAATTAAGAAAATATGGGCTTTCTTTGAAATGCATTTGAATAGATTCAATGATAATATTGAAAATATTACTGAGTGCAACAAGTTCATGGAACAAGTAATTTTTGTGTCTCATGAAATATTCGTACTAAAAGGTGAGATTTCTATGCTGAATCACGAACTGTTAGTTTTGAAAGATTGTTAAGATCATAATAAATAAGGATATATCACGTGTATAATGTTCAATTTATAAATAACTTAAGACAACGGCAAAATGTAGAATCTGAAAACAATGTGATTCCTTCATGATCACTAATTCAACAAATCCAACGCTATCATATTGCTTCGATAATTATAAAATTAAATAGATAGAACAGAGTTAATATTTTTGCGTGTAATTATTCTATCAATTCTATAATTTGTTATGTATCATAAAGGCTATTTTAATAATTTTTATATAACTAATTTAGATGTCATTAAATCTACTAAATTAAAATAACTAATCGTAAAGCGTATATATGTATTCACTTTAACGTCGCTCAATGTGATCTAGTTGATGCATATGATAGGATGTTGTTTTTTGCATTTTTAGCATATTTATTAACACAAATATTCTGAAGTACTATGCATGTATCCGAAAAATTTTAATTGTGATCGAGAAAATTTCGATATCATTTTTTTCTAATAATTGTTAAAAATATTTTAACACGAAATAAATGAACAATTATAATATCTTGAATAAAAATGGATAGTAATGTCTATTTATATTATAAAATCTATTGTACCAAAACTTATGATGTTCAATTTGTAATATTTTTATAATAAAATTTGCCACTTTAATTGTCTTAAAAAATGGCTATTCTCTTAAATAATTTAGAATTTTGTACATATAAATATAAAATTATGATACTTCAAAAACCGTAAAAGAAACTTGATACTTACAATTAGTTATTCAGGTAGGGCGAGACTCGAGCGATCAGAATTATATTGCAACAAATTTTATCTGACTTTAATTATCAATGTGTTTTAATTAAATTATTCTTAATTTGTGTACTTTGAAAATTTGAACTAAACAAAAATTACTACAGTAATTCTTTATTAATAAGAAAAGTAATATTGTTAAATGCATTCTGATAGATTCAATGAAAGTATTGAAGAAATTACTAAATGCAAAAATTTCGAGCACCAAGAAATCTTTGTGTCTCACGAAGTGTTCGTATTAGAAGGTAAGATTTCAATGTTGAATTACGACCTGTTACTTTTGAAATATTATTCAGAGATCATAATAAATAAGAACATGTAAGGTGCATAATTTGGAGCTTATAAATAACTTGATGAGAGAACGACAAACTGAAGAATCTGAAAGCGATGTAGATCCTTTATGGTCACTAATGCAATAAATCAAACGCTATCATTTGACTCTGTCATATTTTGATTATTAGAACAATAAATATGTAGATTAAAACGTAATTAATCTAGATATTTTTGCATGTAATCATTTACATAATTCATTATATGTTAGAAATACTATTTTAATAATTTTTATATCCTTAATTTAGATGCCATAAAACATATTAAATTAAAATGACTAATCGTAAAACGTGTATATATCCACTTTAACGTCGCTCAATATGGTTTATTTGATCCATATTGATGCTGTTTTCCGCATTTTTAGTATATCTAACACAATTAGTCTTAAGTTTTTATGCATTTATCTGTAATAGATTTTAACTAAACTGTGGTAATGTAATTTAAATAACCGTTTATTTTCCATTAAATATTAAAAAAATTTTGGAATATTTTACAATATAATTTAAATTAAATTATATAATTTTATATATAATAATTTATATAAATATTAAAACAGTAATTTATGTAATAATAAATTATAGTTCACAAATAATTATAAATAATTTAATTTAAATTTTAATAAAATATCTCAACAATTAAAATATTTTGAATATTTTGAAATTGATATTATATTATCAATTTATATTCACAAATTTTTTTTGTGTCAAAGTTTTTATTTTTTAATGCTAAATATCTTTATAATTAAATATAATTCCATTTAATTTTTTTAAATATCTATTCTTTTAAATGATTTAGAATTTTGTATTATATAAATATGTATGTGTACAACTGTCGCACATACATATAATAACAGCATAGACACTATACATTTTTAATTAAATTTTTGGATAAATGCAAAATATGCGATGCTTGAAAAACTGTAAAAAAGTTTAATATTTAGAATTAGCTGTTTACCCAATGCGAGAATCAGAATGATATTATTACAAATTTTATTTTAGTTGTACTATTAATGTGTTTTAATTAAATTATAATTAATTTAAATACTTGGAAAATTTGAAGATTATAATAATAATTCGATGTCAATAATGGTTCTAAGGCTTTTCTTATTAAAAATAATGTTAAAAGGTTTAATGTAGAGACTAAGAAATTTCCAAAATAATATATAATAATAAATAATTTTGTTTGTATTTTATTATTTTTTATATTATTTTTGTTTATATTGCGATCTCTCGAGCATTGAATAAATTGATGAAAAACAGCTACCACACATTTATGCGTACATGAAGAATGCTATATCATGTAATTATATCTTACCAAATAAAAGTTTCTAATGAAATAAACAGTATGTTTTTTCTGTATGTTTAATATTTATATATTATCAATATGTATACTTATTATAAAGTTAAAATTATTATAATAAATTTTTAAATAATAAATGGATTTTTATAATTAATAATTAAGAAATTGTTTACTAATTTACTAAAAAATATAAAAAATTATAATAAAAAAACTTTTTTTTATAAATAATGCATTGACTTAATTTTTATTATAAGCACAAATTAATGTTTAAAAATAATTAGGTATAACAGGTTCTTCATGTTTGACTTTTTCACATTTTGTACCAGAGATGAAAAATGTACATATTCCTTGATGCAGTTTGATGAGAGCAAATTTAAAATATATGACTTTTATATCTGCATCGCGCATAAATGACATAAAAGTCAACATTTTTATGAATTCCTTCGAAAAATAATAAGGGACATGGAAATTTCAGATTGTATAACATAAATTTACATATTTCATAAGTTTTCTTTGTTAATATTATTATTCTCGTATTTTAAATTATGCGAATTTATTTGAATTTTACCATAATCAACACAATATTCTTGTTTTATTGATAATGGTGTTCAAGAAGATAAAAAATCTGAATTTTTTTAGATATTTATATAGATAATATATTAGATATATATATTTGCATTCAACATGCGCATTGTACTTATTTATTTTTAATTTTACTAATTTTTGTTAATAAAGTTAGCACGAGTATTTATTTTATTCTAATCGTCATTTATTTAATCGTCATTACTTGTTGAATTATCGCAAATTCAAGTTTTCGTTCATCGCAATTTATTTTGAATTCAAAACAAGCGGCTACTTTTAGTAATGATCTGAATTGTCGGGTCGCCAGTGTTGAGTGTTGCTGCCGTGTGTTTATATTTGCTGCTTTTCTACATTCTGTCGAAACGTGTAAAGGACACTCGTTAGAACTCTATCGGCTGTGGATGCTAGAAGAATCTGTAAAAAGCACTCGTTAGAACTCTGTTGGCTGTGGATGCTAGAAGAATTTATCTCTACTGGAATTAATATGGCAAATGTTATTAAGAATAATGTTCAATCAAAGGAATTGGACATGCAACAAAAGACCTCTGAGGTGAGATTCCATTTGTTTGTATTCGATCATCACAGACTGCATTCTATTTTATTAAGCTGATAATGAGCTTCGAACTTCCAAGCTTATTTCACGAGTGAATTAATGTGTTTAAAATTACATAAAGTGTTAAATCTCATACGTTCACGAATATTCCTGCAATTTTGTATTTTGCCTCTTAATTTAACGTAAAATGAAAAAATGTATATGAATCTTTTAGAAAAAAGAGTAAACGAAGAAATCTCTGCCCGAAAAAGTAAAATCAGAACAAAACAAACTATACATGTATATACATATATATGTATATGTGATGTCACAAGTATAATTTTTTCAGTAATAATATCTGAAATACAATCACAAAATAATAAATATTAGACATTTTAATAAACAATTTCAAAAATTAATAAAAGGTGGATAGGTAACATAAAAGTATATGTTTATAATTTTCAAATCTGTTTTTTTTAAATTATTTTATTATTACTTGCAATAAATATAATTTATTTGTCAAAAATATGGTTATATACAAAAATTGTTTATAAAATAATTGCATCACATAAGATTTTTTAATGCGACGACAAAATATTATTTTTTGACAGGACGCTGAGAAATCGAATCACATAATGCTAAGATACTCGCAACTAGATATTCAGTTGAAACTCGTTACAAAAGATTTAAATTTAATGTAATAATGTGCTTTTAAAATTTATGCAATGATTTTAATTCTCGCGTATTTCAATTAATTCGCAATAATTTTTAATAAAACTTGACGAATACAAATTAAGTTTTTTTATGATATAATTATGTTCTCAATATTTTAAATTATAATTATAATAAAATGTATTCTTAAAGCGTTAACTTTCTTGATAGTCAATTATATATTTTGTTCAAAAATTAAAAATAAAAAGAATTATCGTAAAAGAATATATCATTTAATATAATATAAAATAATGAAAAAATATATTAATTAAATTTTTGTTTTACAATTTTTATTTTTTCTTTAAATAACTCATAACTGACCAATAACAATATCACAATGAATTTAAAGTGTATGTGTGTATGCATTATATATATGTATATACATACACATTATATGTATGTATGTATTTTTAATATATAGATATGTAATAAAATATTTTCTTAAAATTATACAATTTGATAAAGAATTTCATGCATAATTAAAGATAACAGTATTTATAATTTGCATTCTATGACTTTCAGATTGCATTGTCCAAGGATCTATTTAATAAGCAATTTAATGCATTGGATAAAGTTTTGCAAGACGATCTGAATATTTTAGACAAAGTAGACTATGATATATTTTATGGATCACAAAACTTGCAAAATGTATTGAAGAGAAACAATTTCAACAAGGAAAGGAGAAGTTTGATACCGATTGTAATACGAATATCACCACAAGTGGAAAGTGTGAGAATATTTTCAACAAATTACAAGAAGGACAAAGCTCAAGTTCACAGAAAATCACGGAAGAAGAAAAGGTTAAACAAAGATATGTCGGAAAAATTTGAACATAATATAGCACACACAAGTAGTATAATGGCAGGTATGGCCCGTCAAAACAAACCCCCACCACCGACCCGTCTGGCGCCGGGTCTTATCTTATCTTTCCCCCACCACCGGCGTCTGGCTTTTCCGAGTGTGGGTGTTGGGGGGAAAGGGTGTTGGGGGAAAAAAAAATGGCGACTGGCCCCGAAAGGTGGGGATGAGAATTTTTATTTTTTATTTTTTCTGATTTTCTCTGGATTTGAACCCGGGACCTCCGTGTTTCCGAGCAGGGTCCTAGTATGTTGAGCTAAACGAGATCTTACTAGTCTAAGGATTAGATGTGGTATTTAAGCTAAAGTTGCGTAGAGTACGGCATGGGGGTTCGGGTATACGTATGGCAAGGATAGCTCGTCGAATCAAATGGTCGATATTGGACGGGGGTGGGGTAAAAACAGTTCGGGTATACGTATGGCAAGGATAGCTCGTCGAATCAAATGGTCGATATTAGACGGGGTAAAAACATTTTGGCCAAGAAAAGCGTCGTGCGGTCGACCGGTGGCAGGTAGTAGTAGCTGACAATGGCGTAGGGTAATAAAAAGAACACGCAAATATTTGTACAGGCGAGCATTCCGACTCGCGTCACGATAAAAAAATAATAATACATCGTCGTAGATTAGAAAGATGTCAGATAAAATTTTATTTTAAAATAACTCGCTGCTTAATGAAGGTAAACAGGAACATGCATGTTAGAGGAAATTTCTGGAAAGAGTAAGTGAAAGAAAATTGAACAATGGTTTTAAAAGTACAAATATGATTTATATTTAAAATATTTTACAGAACAAAATTATTCACAATCATTTCAAAAAAATATTCGTCGAATAATTATTAAAATTTACGTTTTGATATAATTGCATATACAATTTGTTCGAAATAAAGTGAAATTATTTCTAAAAAATGTTATCTCGAAGTATACATCGAGAAATGTTAAATCTTTCAGTTGGGTGCGTACATTACGTTCTATTTCCTTACTGTTACCTCTGATCGTGAGTTTCACGATACTGCTATTAATGCTACCGTTGACAGGAAGATTTAACTGTATTTCGTTAATTAAATATCGAGCACATTCGTTGACATTAGTTGAAATAAAATTTAGACGATTTAAATTAGCGTTCACACAATTAACTATATTTTCTACACCTTGAAAAGTCGTTCTCTGCATGACTATCGCAATGTTGTAAGTTTTACGTTTCTTCGCCTTCGGTCCGTTTTCGTTCGTATCCTCCGCAGTTTCGGAAGAAAGATCTTCTTGTTCGTTTTCACGATATGTTATTAGTATGGCTCTAGCACCATATGCGGTAGTGAAATTTATAATAATATCTTGTTAAAGATGATCGAGCTCAAATTAATTTTATCACCATTTAAGTAGCTCGACATCGTTTCCATGTTTTCTTGAAATTTTTGCCACGATTCCATGTCGAAGCAAATCCTGCAGCTCCGTGAGATGTTGAGATGTTAATTTAACAGCAGGTAGAAAATCCAGTTCGACGTTGTCTTCCGTCATAAGACCCACTTGAATTTTCTTCGTGTAGGATGAATTCAATCCGTATGTTGTTGACAGCAACATGCGCGGTTGTTGCTCGATTTTCTTAAGATTGTTCATGGTAGTTGCTACCGCGTAGAAAATCAAAGATTTAATAATCAAAGACGCGGAAAAATCGAAAAATCGAGAACTTTTTTACTAACTATCTTTTTACTAACGAACTTGAAAGTCCGGACGATGAAAGACGAGTGAGCGAAGATTTTCAAGAAAATTTATAAGAAGATAAAATAGAAGTGGTAGGGAGAAAAGGCATGCGCAGATAAATAAAAATTATGAGGAAGGGGGAATTTTTAAACAATATAAATGATATAATTTTTAATGCGGAAGGGGAATTTTTAAACAATAAAGTAATAGGGAGAAAATGCATGTGTAGTATAATAAAAATTATGTGGGAGAGGAATTTTTTAAACAATATAAACGATATAATTTTAATGTGGAAGGGGAATTTTTTAAACAATATAAATGATATAATTTTTAAATCTGACTACAGAGAAAATATAAAATTCCTACCGCTATCGAGAAAAGATACCCGAAAATTTCTCATCTTGATTTCCATAAACTTTTTGTAGCTAAGTAAATATCGCCCTAGATTAAATATTTTGTATCTAAACAATAAGTAAATATTACCATATATATATATATATTTATATAAAACAAGGGTAAGAATACTCGGGCATGAGAAAAAAATAAAAAAGATAAAAAAAATAAAATAGAGAAAAGATAACTAAAAATTCCTCATCTTGATTTCCATAAACTTTTGTAATTAAGTAAATATTGCCCTAAATTAAATATTTTCTATATCTAAGTAAATATTAACATATATATAAAACAAGGGTAAGAATACTCGGGTATGAGAAAAAAAGATAAAATAAAATCGAGAGAAAGTTACCTGAAAATTCCCCATCTGATATAAAAACGTATAAATACGGCTCTCGGAGTTAAGTTAGTTACATTTTTTCGAATTTCGTCTCTCGCGTACTCACGTATTCGACGCAAGTGTACTATTAAATTTCAAATAATGAGTTTGAAAAAAGTAATTGAAATTTGTCTATCACTAGCGCAGAGTTTATGCGGGAAAAATTTTTCCAGGCATATATATGAATTAGCATGCGCTAGTGAAGACAAATGCTTCAATATTTTTGGAAAATTCGCGGGGAATGTCCCAGCGCTGTGCTAGCGGTATTATTCCGACTAGGGCATTTTAGTGTTTTTCGCGAATTAGTGATTATCGCGGGTGAGGTGATCGAGTCGCGATACTATTTTGGTGGTGAGAAGGAAAACGACGTAGCAGGCCACATAGAATATCTCCTCCTGCATTTTCATCGAGTTCTGCGGGGAGAAGATAATAATGGTAAGTTTTTATTTTTATTACAGTTAATTATAAATAAATTAATTAAAACTACCCCAATTATTTATTTATTTAATTCGCTAAAACTTTAGCTTTCGTACGCCCTGTCGCACGCGTTACAGGAAACCGGCTGCGCGTACTGGAGAATCGCCCTGTATCACTAAGGCTAAGGTTAAATAGAAGACGACGAGCGGATTCTTCGCCGGAGCCCGGGCCTTCGCGTAAGTTTTTAACATTATAAATTATATCACGCTGCTAGAAAAACATTATATTAAACAGGAAAATTTTTAATAAAAATGTTATACGTTCCAGGCCGTGCACGCATCGTGTTAACGCCGGAGTTGGAGCATCCGGTTATTGATTTAGCCGAAAGCGATAACGACGTGGAAGAAGTGCGGGTTCGCGAAGTAAGTCCGTTCGATGAGGCGACCATATTTACTCCGCTTGAAAGTAAGTAAGAAAAATACTACAGTGGTATATATCAACACAAAAGATTTTTTAATTATGTGAAATACTAATAATATATGTCTGATGAATATTAGATGACGCGGCAAATGAAAACGTGGTCGTAGAGGATCGAGAACGGGGGGAGGAAATCGATGAGGAAGTAAACACGATTCCGGAAGATGAAGAGGATCTGGAGGAGGAGGAGGAGGAAGAGTCGGAAGAAGAAGAGCAAACGGAAGATGAAGAAGAAGAGCCGGAAGAACGAGAAGAACAAACGGGAGATGAAGAAGAAGATGAAAATAACAACACCACGTTCTGTAGAAGAAGAAGAAGAAGAAGAAGAGAAGAAGAAAGAAGAAGAGAAGAAATAGCGGGGAGATGGCTGAGGAAGGTAATAATTACATATTTTATACTTAATCTTCTCCTACGTTTAAATTTTTTGTTTATTCTAATTAAAATAAAATTTTATTAGGAATTTCTTTCTCTCCTAACATCGCGCCCGAAATTTCATATTCACCGGAGTATTAACCCTCGCAGGGTGACACAATTGCCCCGGTAAAAGAATATTAAAACGTAAGTGAACATAACATAATTATTAATAACAACAGTTTCACATTATTAATAAAAATTCAAACGTAAGAGAGTAATATTTATTAAATATTTTATTTTGTTAATATAATTTTTATTTCTCACAGTACAAAGTGGTGGGGGAAGGAACGTCAGAATACACCGAGAAGATTCTCAAACCCGCTCCGGTGAGGAAACTTCCGACGAAGAGCGAGATTTAGCGGCTGCTGGTGGACAAGAGGAAGTAACGAATCAAGAGCTCGAAGGTAATTTTAGATATTTAATAATGTTAGCGGAAAACGTGCGTCGGTTTAGAACTTTTGGTATAGAAGGACGGGAAATTAGTTTCCGTATTCGGCCGATACCCGAAGGAGCAAACGCGTATGAGTGGTTAGAAAATGCGTTTCGCGAACTTCACGAGTACGCGTTGCATTCGTGCGAACCGAGGGATTACGTCGGTATGTCTTTTGATTCCGCAAGTTTAACTCGTGGCCCCGCAGGTATATCGTTCCGACCTTCGCGAGATTTGACTTACGAAAATATTTGGGAACTCGTAAGCTCGTTAGCGCAAAGCTGCGGAGGACACGATATAGCGCGAGAATTTAACATTCGGATTTTTAAAGTCACTCCACCCATTGGTCGCGGACGTAACGGGCTTACGCCCGATGTTATTGCTAAACGTTCGATTTTAACAATTTCCAATACCGATAATTATGTCTTCCTCGCGCGCTTGTATCGGCTCTAATTTTTAACGAGCGTGGAAATTTACGCACGGGAGAGTTACACGCGAAATGGAATGCGGTGAGAAGACAAAACTCGGTGTTACAGCGCGAGTTAGCGTTGCAACTTACGAGGGAGGTCGGTGTCACGATTCCGGAGGAAGGGAGTGGAATTGTTGAAATCGAGCGTTTTCAGCAATATCTCGCGAGCGAAAATGTCGCGATAATAATATATAACGACGATACTTTTGGTCGAGGCGGTAAGCCGCTATTCGATGGAAACGTGTTTCTAACCACTCTGCAGCGGGAAATAAAAGCTTGTCTAAATTTATTATACCGTTCAAATAATAAACATTTCGATGTAATTTTAAATTTAA